TATTTACTTTCTCTTGAATTAGAGTTTGGCTGAATGCTCAGGAGAAAGCCCTGTGGAATGAGCCCATCGCCAGTCAGTGCCATGTCTAGGGGAGTTGATGGCTTATATCAACCACTTTGAGTTTCATTCTGGTTTTTACCAACTTTGATGACAAAAATGTAAAGATTGAGAGAGAATGAGGATAGAGTAAAAGACAATGTGTTCTGGAATTAAAGACATCAGGGAGCCCAGCCCGGTTTTGGGGGCACTGGGGAAGATCTTTGAATGCCCACTGTAGGCAGGCACTTTACAAACTCATTTAATGCTCTCATGAAGTTGAGATCCCAATTTACAGAAGAGGAAATTAAGGCTCAGAGAAATAACAAAAAACACCTTGGCCAAGGTCCAGTGTCCAGTAAGTGCTGGGGCTAAGCCAACACTCTCCCCACTGTCTCTCAGTGGACTCTAGAGCCCAGTCACTCACTAGCTGCGTGACTTAGGGGAATCCCCGAATCCTCTGTGCCTCAGTCTCCTCACCTGTAAAACGAAGAGTCTGGATTAAGAACTACATGGTTTCCAGATATCCCTTGTAGCTTTAACATTCTGTGAGTACAATGAGTGTGTGAGCATGATTAGAAGGATTGGCTGTTTACGAGCCAATCAGAGGTATTGGATAAACACCTCCCTACCAGGCCAAGGTGGGAAGGGGAGGGCAAAAGTTTAAAAAAAAAAACTTCGATGAGAAGTCTATAAAAACTGTGCATTCCCCAAGATTCGTCCTACGTGGCAACTGCTGCCTTGTCCACAGCTTCTGGCGTCTAAGAGAACTCTCCTCTCCCGAACTGTAAGTAAAAGAACCTCCTTTGTCTACCTGCACTCACCAAGGAGTAAGGGGTTAACGACAGCACTAAGCGTGTAGAGGGGAAAGTTTGTTTGCCTCTGTTTTCAGGAAAAATGTGATGATCTGCTGAAATGATTGCTTTTCTCCCTCAGCGTGAATGCTCACTCACACCTTCCCTGGCTCTTTGAGTGGCAGCAAAATGCTCAACCTTGCTGCCAGTTACCACTGTTACCTGTAGGAGGGCTCTTCTGAGACTTTGGCTTAGAAAAAACAGCTTGAATACTATTTGCTTAGGTTGCACTCAGTTTTTGAGATTCCTGCTCATTTCTGCTCTCTCCATAACAACCTGCTTATTTCGATGATATATTTACATAGCAATCACCTTATGTCATTTTCTTCATTCTCTTCCCACACTGACTAGTACCAGCACTGAAGTTTCTTTGTCACAGAAATGAACTCTTGGCATGATTTGCCCTTCAGCTTTACCCACAGCTCAAATGAGAAAATGAAACAGGCTTGGAAACCTCATACAGCATAGTTGTCATTTGATTATGGATTCTCAAGCTGTCCACTTGTTTGATAGTTTCTATAACATTTCCTACTGGCACCAAACACCCTGAAGATCCTACGGTTTAAGATATTTGAAATCAAAAGCTGCTGATGTATTTTGGTACATTTGTTCTACTATCTGAAAAATAGGCGTGTTGTGAGGGTAGGTTGCCTTTTAAAATAAACTTCTCTTTAAATAGTTACCTTGGGCTCCCTTAGCCAATTTGGATCCAGCAGGGGCTCCAGCTCTGCTGCCATCATCACTTGAGCTAAAGCACATCTGGCGACCACCCAGGCCCAGGCTAGACCGGAGGCGCTGGGGCAGGGGGTGGAGTGGAGTTGCTATAAACCTGGGAGTTCCTTCCACTTATTTGCCAGTTCAGAGGAAAGAGCAACACTCAGGTCTCTTTCTAGGCTGCTCCACGTATGTTCAAAGGCACCAGGGATCAGGCTGTCCTAGAGCATCTCACTGCACTCGTCACTGAGGCATTGGGGTAGGTCATGAAGCTGAGGGCATCTTCATGCATGCACCCACATATAAAAGGGCTGTGCACAGTGCCTGGCAACCAGAGGCTTTCAATGAACAAGCCCCTCACGTCTGTCTTCTTGAAAATCCATCTGCCTCGCGCATGGAGAAGCACGTGGACTCTCCACTGCCGTATATTTCTCCAGGAGTTAAATGTTCATATGTTACAAATTATTATCTTTTCACAGAACCTCTTCAAGGAAGGCAGAAAGAACCACACTGTAGGGTTCCATCTGTCATTATGCTGAAGAAGGATTGGAAATAGGCTTCCAAGTCATAAATCAATAGGATATGACTTTCAATCCTAGAATGTCATAACTTAGAAGTGGCATCAGACATATTCTTCGTGGGCCTCAGTTTTCTCATCTCTCAAGTTGGCAGGTTGATGCAGATCTGTCTGAGGTCACTTGTAGCTCTGTTTTTCTGTAGTTACCTTCTATTCGTATATGTTCATACTCACAACCTTCCCCCAGATTTGTACACATATTTCCTGTTAATAGATTATGCATAATAAATCATGTAATATATAAATCTGTTCACTAAGAAATCAAACATTATAAAAAATCCATAAAGTGAAATGTGAGAGTCACTCCGCTCCATCCCATGCCCTAGAGATGACCCCAGGGTGGTTATTCTCTGCTTATACAGACCCACAAACGGTATGTGTGGTTTGTTTTTTTTTTTTTGTGAGGAAGATCAGCCCTGAGCTAACATCCATGCTAATCCTCCTCTTTTTGCTGAGGAAGACTGGCTCTGAACTAACATCTATTGCCAATCCGCCTCCTTTATTTTTTTCTCCCCAAAGCCCCAGTACATAGTTGTATGTCATAGTTGCACATCCTTCTAGTTGCTGTATGTGGGACGTGGCCTCAGCATGGCCGGAGAAGCGGTGCGTCGGTGCGCGCCCGGGATCTGAACCCGGTCCGCCAGTAGCGGAGCGCGCGCACTTAACTGCTAAGTCACGGGGCCGGCCCGGTACGTGTGTGTTTTAATTTAAAGAACAATATTACATATTGCATACTTCTTTGAAACTTGCTTTTTTCACTCAATAATATAGTGTGAACTTAAAATCACACTTAAAAAGAAAAGTTGACTTGACACCTCAGTGAGCAGAGGTTTGGGGGCACAGAAATCATTCTCTATCATTTCCCACTCCTGCTGGCCTCCTGTCTCCCAGTGGTGAACATTGGCCTGTGACCCCGTTTTATGATTAACAAAGGGGCAACATTTGTGCTGATGTGGTACAGACCTTTAATCCCTCTGTAGAAGTTTAACTTCCCATAAACAGTATTGGTTCAATTTGACCTGTCCTCTGTTTTTCTGATTAAGTCAGCACACTCAGTCTGAAGAAAATAGCTTGGTAGTAAATAGAAACATGGAAGTCCCTTTGGTAATTATTATTTTTTTTAATTTAAAAAGAGAGACATAATAATACCTTACATTTTCATAATGCTTTATAAAGCATCTTCACATTTATCATGCAGTTCAACAAATATATTTTGAGCAACTACAATGAGTAAGGTGTACACAGGTCACATTTGATCCTTTTGGCAATGAGACAACCAGAGCAAATATCTTCACCATTTAATCCATAGTAACCTAAGACTCAGAGAAATGACCAACTTGCCCAGCTAGGGGAGGCAGAGCTGGTCTTTGCACCGGGTCTGTCTGATCTACTACAGCAAACCTCCGTGTGAACGTGTCAGATGTTTATGAATTGGTCATGTCAGTGGTGTGGGATGATGATCCAAGCCCAAAGATTTTGAGTACTGGAGGGGTGTCATCAAGGACATTAGAATCATCCAAATGCTGATTCCTTTCACCAAATTCACTCTTTCCTTGAAAGAGGGGACTATTGCCCCTTATCCCAACTTTGTGCCTTATTAGCTATTTGTCCTTGGACAAATAATTAAACTCTCTTACATTCTTTCCTTATTTATTATATGGGAGGGGAGAGAAGCCCAGCTGCCTTCTGGGATTGTTGTGAGCAATAAATTATATAGTGTATGTAAAGCAATTAGCAGAGTGCTGGCAATAAATGATAATTTGCTATTATTATTGGGCTATTTTTTCCTTTTGTTTTATTTAAGGAATATCTTTATTTTTTCCGTTGCTGACCACACCACCCTGTGTCTGAGTGTATGAGTGGAGAGGAAATTGGGGAAAGGAGGAGGCCACAGGATTGGATAGGAAACTACTCCAGATAATCTTCACTGTGATTTGATTAGTTTGATAGCTCAATCTACACAAAATCACTCTTTCTAAATCCAAGAGGAGAGCCTATGGGCTTACATTTTTCAAGACTAGCCCAAAGTGGCAGCCAAATAGAAGCAATGGACCTCTTCAGAGGACCCTGCTGAGTACGTTGTTTGGGTAGGGGGTTCTTTGAGCCAGAGTGTCTCCTTGATAAGGCAGTGAAGCTGAGAATTACTGGAGCAGGGATCACTTTGTGACTTTAGCATCATTAGAGCCTGTGGGAACCTCCAGCCCAGAGGCACTTAGGAAAAATACCCCCCATCTGCTTCAAATGGTCTCATAGGTGGTTGAATATAAGAAAAATGAGCCTTACACCCACCCCCTAGGTCCCAAAGGTGAAGGGAGGTTAACTTCAAGGCCAAGTGGTGGTTTCTCCTCTCAAGCCTGTTGCCTGGAGAATAGTCTGGACTACAGGCTAACAGAGCAAAGTGAAGAATGGTCACAGAGGCCAAAAGCCTCACTGTTTTGGCCTCAAGCCATCCAGGGCACCCGATGGCACCTGGAATCCACAGAATAGAAGGACTGTCAGTTACTGCAGTGCCCTCTGTTTGTCAGATTTCAGTGGGTCACTAATTAGCTGGTTCAGAACCAGGATCAGTGATCCCAAAGGTTTCCTGGAAGGCACTCTGTTTAGGATCACCATTTGGCATTCTACCTTCATCTATTGTGGCTAATTGCAACTACTTAGGCTAAGGGGAAAAAACTACAGACTTAATTTGTTTATCCAATTGTGGAAATAGGCCAGAAATGTCAGAGGGGCCTATAGGGCTTAGCTCAATACACTGGAGTCTTGGTCATGATTCCATCGAGCCACTCACAGTTCTGTTCATGCCTCTCCTGCACTCTTTTCCAGACCTGCCACGATGGCCCACCGATTTCCAGCCCTCACCTCAGAACAGAAGAAGGAGCTCTCAGAAATTGCCCAGCGCATTGTTGCCAATGGCAAGGGGATCCTGGCTGCAGATGAGTCTGTAGGTGAGTTCAAGAAACATGATACAACAGGCATACTGTTGTTTCTCCACTTAGCAAAGGCAACTTGATAATCATATTTTCTTTCCTCTCAGAGGAAGTAAAGTTTTCTGTACACGGGAGTGGGAGCAGAAGACTCAGTAAGCATAGACCTTTTGAGGCCTGTTGTTCCAGTAGACAGATTTCTGAAAACAAAGGGACGAGGCTCAAACCCTCCATTTTAGGACCCCTTGCCAGGGATCGTTTGAATCCATCTGTAGCAAGGCCAGGAACTCAGTAACCGGAATATGGTCAGACATACAACCCTCTGCTGCTTACAAGAAATCAGTGTAGAGTCAGCCAAGGAAGGGCAGGGAGGGTAGGGAAGTGTCCACACCTGGGACAGGGAAGGGCTTGTGGCAGACAGAAGCCCAGGTTGGCATGAGGGAGAGTGGTGGCGGGGCCTGCATGGCCCACCATAAAATGATAGAAGCCAGGGAAGTCAAGAGTCTGTCCCAACCCCCTCCTTCCACTGTATGTACATCCAGTCAGGTTGAGGGCTGGACCTGGGGAGGGCTGGAGAGGCCTCAGGGCCTTACATACCCACTTGGACCCAATGGTGGCTTCCATCCTGACCTCAACACACCCAGCCCATACCTTCCTAACCAGCATCCTGATAGCAACCAAGGCCTTTCCTGGGGAGAGAAAAAAGAGGCAGGAGCTTTGAAGATCTGAATGAAAAAGAGAGTCTTGCTGCCCATCCTGGTGAGAGTCACTGAGCTGGTGTGGAGGAGGGCATTAGGAAAGCCCAGGCTTGCTCCTTATACTGCCTCGGCCCTCCCACCATAGGCACCATGGGAAACCGCCTGCAGAGGATCAAGGTGGAGAACACAGAAGAGAACCGCCGGCAGTTCCGAGAAATCCTCTTCACTGTGGACAACTCCATCAACCAGAGCATCGGGGGTGTGATCCTTTTCCATGAGACCCTCTACCAGAAGGACAGCGAGGGAAAGCTGTTCAGAAACATCCTCAAGGAAAAGGGGATCGTGGTGGGAATCAAGGTGAATACTTCTGTTCCCATCTCGCCTTTGCCTCACCCCAGTCAAACTCCCAGCCCGGTGGCTGGGGGAGGGCCAACACTCTGAACATTCGTATCATCTTATTTCTGTCCTCACTCTTTTCCATCATCATCTTCCCACTGAGAACCAGATCCTCTTCTAGACTTTTCTTCCAGTGCTCTCTTCTTTTAACCAAGTTTTCTACAAGGTACTTAATCTCTTAGTGTCTCAATTTCCTCATTTCTAAAATGGGAATAATAGTACCTACCTTAAAATGTTCTTATAAGGATGAATGAGTTTTTAAAACAGTTCCTGTTGCATAATTGTTATTTAGTTAATGATAGCTATTATGATTAAAGCATTTACTGTTCCGTTGTAACTATGTCTTCCAAATCTGCACGAACGTCTCCGGAGTGAACATTAGTATTTGTTGAGTGCTCACAACTCCAAGCACTAATTGCGTCCTCCTCGCAACATCTGGAGGTAGCCTCAATTATTATCCTTATTTTAGAAAGGAGGTGAGAAAATGGAATGACAAGGGGTAACATAACTTGCCCCCGGCAAGGCAAAATTGGAGCCAGTTCAAACCCAGGCTGTCTACCTCTCCGGCTCATGACCTTAGCCTCTGCTCTGCTGAGAGGAGAAGCTGCATCTTTATCCTCTTTGTCTCCTGTAATAACGCAGTGCCTGGTATGTGCAGGTGCTTAATAAATGTCTCTTGAATAAACAGTTTAAGGGAAGCTGCTCTTATACGGCACCTCTGCATCCCGGGAACTGTCGGATTACTTCTTCCTTCCCAAGCTCCAGGCCTGTGCTTTCCATCCTGTTAGGCTGACCCCTTACATGTTCCGTCCAGGTAACTTCCCTTCTGCTATGGACTGAACTGTGTCCCCCTCCCCCCATGACTAATACACCTTCCTAATTCATCTCCTTAGTTTGTGAAAGATGAGAACTGTTAGCATCAGGGGCTCTGCTTGTGTCCTACTGGGACACTTGACACCGCTAACTACTTGTTAATTATTTATATTCACAGTTAGACCAAGGAGGTGCTCCCCTTGCAGGAACAAACAAAGAAACCACCATTCAAGGTAAGGCGATTACCCATTGATGTGAATCACATTATATGCTGGAATGAAGGCAAGCCAAGAGGCGAGCAAGGGAAAACAAAATGTGGATATCACACTGGTTCTAGAACCACACACCTGGTTTTCAGTCCCAGCTCCTCTAGTTAATAACTGTGTGACCTCAGGCTAGTCACTTAAAGGCTCTGAGGCTCAGTCAAAATGGGATAACAATATCTACTTTGCAGAATAGTGGTGGGATTAAATCAGACAATATACATAAAGTGCTTACCAAGTGCCTTGCACAGACAAGATACTCTGGACCTGGGAATATTATTTTTAGAGAAAAATCCAGCAACAGTAGAGAGGAAAGATCGCAAGCTTTGGGATCAGACATATCTAGGTTTGAAGCCTGGTTCCATCACTTACTACTTAGACAATTTTGCAAGGTACTTCACTGCCCAAAGAGACAAGTATAATTCACAGCTCTGGGTTAGCTAAGCAGAATTTGAAGCCCAGCTCTGTCACTCTTTAGTTATGTAAACTTGGCAAAGTCACTTAACCTCTAAGAGCCTCAGTTTCCAAATCTGTAAAATGAGTATACAACTATTAGTTGTATGATATGACTATAGGGTTGTAATAGTATAACAACAACAGTAGTCCCTCGTTATCTGTGGTTTTGCTTTCCTCAGTTTTGGTTACCCAAGGTCAACTGTGGTCCAAAAATATTAAGTGGACAATTCCAGAAATAAACAATTCATAAGTTTTAAATTGCATGCCATTCTTAGTAGCATGATGAAATCTCACACCGCCTTGCTTCACCCCGCCTGGGACGTGAATCATCCCTTTGTCCAGCGGATCCACGCTGTGTACACCACCCACTGTATAGTCACTTAGTAGCCATCTTGGTTGTTAGATCGACTGTCACGATATCGCAGTGCTTGAGTTCAAGTAATCCTTATTTTACTTAATAATGGCTCCAAAGCACAAGAGTAGTGATGCTGGCCATTCGGATATGCCTAAGAGAAGCTGTAAAGTGCTTCCTTTAAGTGAAAAGGTAAAAGTTCTTGACTAATAAGGAAAGAAGAAAAAACTCACATGCTGAGGTTGTTAAGATCTACGGTAACTTTTATTACAGTGTATTGTTATAACTGTTCTATTTTATTATTAGTTACTGTTGTTAATCTCTTACCATGCCTAATTTATAAATTACACTTTATCATAGGTATGTGTATATAGGAAAAAACGTCCTCGGTTTCAGGCATCCACTGAGGGTCTTGAAAGCATCCCCAGTGGATAAGGGGGGACTACTGTCTCACGGTTGTTATGATAATTAAATGAGATCAGGTGTACAAAACGTCTAGAACCATGCCTGGACCATAGTAAGTACTAGACAAATATTAGTTCCCTCTAGTCTTCTTCTGGAGTATCCACGGTATGTTAAAACCATATTTATTAAATCCAGGTCTTTTGCCTCAGTACTGGGATTAATATATATTTGCCTGGATGTTTTCGGTCCTCAAACTCTGTGGCTAAAAGCTAAGCCAAGGGAGAACTCCTTCACTTTATCAGCGGCCCCATGGATCAGGGACTGGGTGCAAAGAAGCCTTTCTCTCTTTGGTGACTTGCAGGGCTTGATGGCCTTTCTGAACGCTGTGCTCAGTATAAGAAAGATGGTGCTGACTTTGGGAAGTGGCGTGCTGTGCTGAGGATTGACAACCAGTGTCCATCCAACCTTGCCATCCAGGAAAATGCCAACGCCCTGGCCCGCTACGCCAGCATCTGTCAGCAGGTGCTCTGCCTTCCCCTTGGGCTAAAAAACAGGAGGCAAGAGCTTTCTTCAGAGCCAATTTTACTATAACTTTCCAATTTTACTATAACTACACATGAGCCTTCTCTCACCAATGTATCCTGGTAGCATTTATCACTACTTTTGCTATAGCCAAGCGTGGTAGGGAAAGATTTAATTCCACAAATCAGCTATGAGCCCCAAAGACCAATGCCATCAACTGCTGCCCTCTGCCAGAGCTCTAGAAGCTGGGCCTTAAAAGTGATCAGGCTCGTAAGGCCAGGGCACTTGCTTGTCTATGCTCCACCATGTCTGAGGCATGATCCTCTTAGATCCTCAGTTTGAAGGTGATAGTTCTGATCTAGTTCCAATCCACATAATTTCTTGAAGGATGGTGACTTGATGCTCAAGTTTCCAATCTAAGTTGAAGTTTCTCTGGGATCCAAGTTAAGTCAGATTGCTTGTGTGGGTGCTATGTTGGGGTTACTTGAGTTGTGGGCACCTGGAGAGTCCCAATTAGAACTGTAAACATTGCTTAATTCCTTAATTAACCCAGACAAGAGGCATCTTTCTTAGTGATTTAAACTTGACTGACGTTAAAGGGTGACAGCTAGGTGCTGAGGTAGCCAGAACAGTCTCTAGAATAAGATACAGAAATTAAGGGTTTGCATTTATTTTACTTCATTCCCAGAAAAACTTTTTGGTTTTTTTTTTAGCTCACTGTTCTTTTTTGGCTAAGCCACAAATGCTCACTAGACATCCCACTAAATTTCTTTCACTGCCTTTAAGTCACCTATATGGTATTTCTCCATAAGGGCTTCGTTTTACACCAATTGTAACTGTTGACTATCCTCCTAAGGAAAAGTTCCCGATGAGCAGAGCTTCACTTTGTCTCCTCCTTTTTCCTTTTTAGAATGGGCTGGTACCCATTGTTGAACCAGAGGTAATTCCTGATGGAGACCATGACTTGGAACACTGTCAGTACGTTACTGAGAAGGTGAGTCTTGAATATAAAGGACCCAATTCCTGTTGAACAATCTTGTTTTTAAGTAATAGCTGTTACTTAACATATATCAGCTGTTATATATGAAATATTCTTTAGTTGGAATCATTTTGTAGCATTGAGAAGGTAACGAGGTGTTCTCAAACCTTCTACTGTTTTGGCACATGATATGCTCCTTATGGAAAAAGCACAGGATTTGCAGTATCAAGACTAGGGCTCGAGAATCCATGTTCCCAGTTGTGGGACCTTGGGTTAAGTCATATCTTTTTGGACCTCAGTTCCATTATGTGTAAACTAAGAAATTTTAAAATAAGATATGAGACTCACATGAGAAACTGTAATTAGAAGTCATTTGTTCCCATGTGACTTTCTAAATTAACCACAGTATATCTGTAAGACAGTAAGAAAGTCCTAATGTAACCTGACCTCAGTTTCTCCACTTGCAGAATTAGGTGGACTGAAATGAGATCTGAAAGCATTTCTGTCTCTAAAATGTATGTTTTTATGACCACTCAGCTTCTATGGGGATGGAGAATGGAGGCCAATTTAGATGTCCTCAGCTAACTAAATCAAGGCCATCTCAATTGACCAAGGGGAGTAATGAGAAAGAAGGAGTGAAGGGCCTCTAGGAGGCAGAGCCATGCCAATAGTGCATGAAGTGAGCATTCAGAGTAGGGGTGGCAGGGATAGGCCAGCTGGCTGTGCTCGATGGCTGTGGTTTACAATGCATTACTCTGATGAGGCCTAGAGGCTGGTTGGGAAGCTTCGGCTAAGCAACATATGGGAATTCCTTCATCCTGCATCCCCACAATGTAAAAGGGCCAAGGTCAGGTGACTCTAAGGCTGGCTCTGGGTTTCACCTGTTGGGACCTCTTGTCCTTCAGGTCTTGGCTGCTGTCTACAAGGCTCTGAACGACCATCATGTTTACCTGGAGGGCACCTTGCTGAAGCCCAACATGGTGACTGCTGGACATGCCTGCACCAAGAAGTATACTCCAGAGCAAGTGGCTATGGCCACTGTCACAGCTCTCCACCGGACTGTTCCTGCTGCAGTTCCTGGTAAGGCTTTCTTTCTCCTCCAGCTCGAGGCCTCAGCCCTCATCCTTTGAAGGAGCGCCACAAGGGTCTGTGTTTGTCCAGGTGTCTGCCTCTATCGACGAAACAGACCTCTGCTGTCTCACAGGCAGCCAGCACTTGCCCCCTGCACTCCATGATACCACGTATCCTGAGTCTGTCCAAAGGCACACAATCCATTGATTTCCTCAATATTTTACCACCCTCCTTATTTATTAAAGCCCTTCTCTCCTTAGCGCAACTAGCTTCGGCAAAGGCAAATTAATTTCTCCGACCCAGTCCCACACAATTAAGTAGAGAAAAGATTGAGACGTTACATTTCTTTTAGGCTCCTTGCTTGCTTTCTCAAGCAGGGCACATAAGCTGGGCCTAGTAGAATGTAATGGCTTCTCTCCTTCCAGGCATCTGCTTTTTGTCTGGAGGCATGAGTGAAGAGGATGCGACTCTCAACCTCAATGCGATCAACCTTTGCCCTCTTCCAAAGCCCTGGAAACTAAGTTTCTCTTATGGACGAGCCCTGCAGGCCAGTGCCCTGGCTGCCTGGAGTGGCAAGGCTGCAAACAAGAAGGCCACCCAGGAGGCATTTATGAAGCGGGCCCTGGTAAGATGCCACTCCTCTTAGCTCCTTGATCAAGTGGATACTCAGGGCCTGGCTCTCTCACATGGAGAAGCACTGCTTTCTCAGGCCATGACGGTTTCCCCAGATAGTGTCTACTAGATATTTGAAAATGTGGCAGTCGAGCTCAGTAGGAAGGTTAGGGCTAGAGAGAGTTTTGAATTATCCACACTGGGAGGTTATTGGATGACAGTAGATTGAAGGACTGTTTCCACAGAGATACTTCAGAGGGAAGATAAGAAGGCCAAGGACTGAACCCAGCACACCTTTCATTTTGGGAAGAAGAAGAAGACAAGCTACCAAACCAAGCAGCAATAATATGATAGAATGAACCAAGGCTTCTGGGAACAAACAGAAACAAGTTTCAAGGGGTCAATGACAACACACTATAGAGAGATTCAGAATAAGGACTTTTTGAAAAGGCTGAGACTGGCACATAGGAGCATATCAGTGACCCTCAACAAAACAGTATCAATAGAGAGAGAAGAGGAAAGATGACCATTCAAAATGTTTGTTAGGAAAAAACCCAGAAAAGTTACCAGGAGAAATGAGGACAACAAAGGGTTTTATTCCAGCAGTAACCATTCCTTTTTGAATACCTACTGTGAGCCAAGGACTGGGGTGAACAAAGCAGACACAGCCACTGCCTTCAGGAGGCTTAGAGTCTGGCCAAATAGGAGAGAGTTTGGCATGTTTCAATGTAAAGCAGAAGGAGCCAGAGGAAAGATCAGAGATCAGGAGAGCGGGGATCATTGAGAGGACAAGGACTTAGAGGAATCAGGATTGTATGAAACTAAATATTAAATACAGGTGGCAGAGTTGGCCTTAGAAAGGAGGGAAGAGATAGCAAAGAAGAAAGAGAATGGGTTTGGAATCAGGTCTGTAGAGGTGAAGAGATGTAGCAGTTGGAGGCCATCTATTAGAGTGATAAGGGAATGGAGATTTCAGTCTTACCAGTGGGGAAGCCTGGAATCGCTGTTGAAGTGGTCTACTAGGAAACTGACCAGATGTTCCGTCCAAGCATCAGGCAAGGAGCAGCTGAAATGAGAATGAGTTTGTAGTATATTAACTTAGATCCTGAATTTTCCTAACAGCTCTCTTAAGCATGCAGGAAGATTGAGATCAACCTATATGGGAAATAGCAGGGTAGAAGAATAAAAGTTTAACAGGAAGACAGAAGAGTGCTGAATTTGAGTGACAGCCTTAATCAGCTTGCTGATCACAGAGGAGGCTGGGCAAGGAACCCAGTGCAGCCAGAAATTTGATGATGAGGCGCTAAAGAAAGGGAGGCCCCAGCGAAGCTAAAAAAAATCATCTCAGGGGCATAAGTGAGGTGTGAGATTTTAGAGGTAGTGCTTTACCACGCGATGATGGAGAACTGGGTATGGTGGTTTGGTGTGTGTCCGAACCACCTGATGGGAGGGTCAAAACGAAGATTGCTGGGCATCAGCCACCAAGTTTGTGATTCAGAAGGTCTGGGGTCAAGCTAGAGAATTTCCATTTCTAACAAGGTCCATGAAACACACTTTGAAAATGACTGTAGGTGTAGAAATAAGTCCTGGAGAGAGCAGACAATAGCAGCAGTGACTTGAAGCCGTGGTACCGCTGAGTTGGCTCTAACTCGTCCTCCTCTCTCACACTTGTTTTTCAGGCTAACAGCCAGGCAGCCAAAGGCCAGTATGTTCACACAGGCGCCTCCAGTGCTGCTTCTACCCAGTCGCTCTTCACAGCCTGCTACACCTACTAGAACCCGAGGCCTGCCGGCCTGGCTCTCACTCTTCCAGGGGTCTGGGAAGGAGGGCTGAAAGGGAACAACTTTTGACCAACCCTGGAAATCAGGAAAAATTAGATTGAAACTGCTGGAAACACAATGCATGTTAAATTCTTGGACACAAGAAAAAAAATCAGTTATTGAAACATAAGTCTGAATATTAAGGATCTAACGAAATTTCACCCAACAGTTTCCTTGCCACACTTCCAGCTCCCCATGCCCCTGAGTATCCACCTAAGACAAGAATAGACTTGAAGACAAAATCAACTCTCCAGCCAAATAACGACCACCGAGTGAAACCCCTCAGAAGCTGAATGCAGAGAAGTGCGTCTCATTGAACAATCTCAACAGTGGTAGGTTGTGAAGGAGACAGCTGCAACCAAAAAGGAAATAAAATATTCTATAAACCTTCAGTTGGTATCAGGTTTCCCTTTCTGCTCTTGCCTTCAAAGGGCTCAGTATGTTTGATTATCTTTGACCCTACTAGAGATGATTGGTATTAATGGTCAGGGTCCTCAACGTTGGCTACTCATTGGAATCACCTGGCAAAATTTAAAAAACCCAGATGCTCAGGCCACACTCCTGCCCAATTAAATCAGAAGCTCTTGATGTGGGATCCTCTAAGTATCAGGGTTTCTTAAAGCTCCCTTGATGATTCCAATGTGCAGCCAAGTTTGAGAACTACCAAGCTAGAGTTCAAGTTTGAGCATATTTAAAAATGAAAGCCATTCATAACGTGAAGCAAGGTAAAATGTAAAAAGATTTCGAGCAACATGTGGAGTGTAAAAGAGATTCAGTGTGACTTTGATGCTTGGAGCATTCCTCCTCGAGTGGCCCAGGTTGGTGACACAGGACAACGTCTTCCTCTGCACATCCGAGCACACTACCTAGTTTTGCAGTAAAGAATATTCCCATAATTATACTTTACTGACTTTCAATTTTCAGAATTAACCTGTAGAAAAAGCATTAAAGACAACCATAGTTACAATAGAGAATTTAAACATTATAACTTTGGACAGTATAAAAGTAATGATTTTGGTGAAAAAAAAGTAATGATTTAACTGACAGAAGCTGAGAAATTAAAGGGGGAGGAGAAGTGGAGGGAAGCAAAGGGAGCATTAATTCACTTAGGGGGAGTCAGGATTCTACTTACAATTGATGGATTAAGAAATGGTGCTTTAAAAAAAGAAATAGTGTTGTAAGTCCATCAGAGTAACAAAGGAAATGGATACAAATGATTAAAATATTCATACCTATAATTCAAATATAGGAAAAGGTAGTAAACTAAATTATCTCTCTGGAAGAGTGCAAGGATAAACAATATTGTTTAGAGTAGATAAATTGAGAAATAGAGGCATAAACATATTATTTAGAGGAATAAGACAGAATTAGTCCAAAAGACCTGGGAGTAGGGCGTAGGGAAGGAGATTTTTACTTATTATGTTCCTCTGCAACACTTGAGTGTTGATTTCCATGTACCTGTATTACTTTTCTAAAGACAACTATATTCATACAAGCAATTCAAACCCCCCTTAGAGGTCATTCAGCCCAAGGCTTTCGATTTACAGATGGTAAAACCAAGCCTAGAGCAGTCGAATTACTTGCTGCAGGCCACACCTTTAGGGGTTTAGGGTAGAGTTAAGAGATTAAAACTCAGCTCTCTTTCTCCTATAACGGACACAAGGCCAGAGAGGAAGGGCAGGGCAGGGCACCAGGCAGCGCTCCACACCTCTGCCACCAGTGTTGTAGGTCCTCAACACGTTGTATTGTGTTCATTCATCCCATCAGCAAGCACTTCAGCTCCTATCATGTGCTAAGCTGTCCTAAAAGCTGGTAACACCTGGTGTGACAAAGCTCTTCTGCCAGAAAATTTTTATCTCGAGCTTACTCAGCATCACTGACCCTATGTTGTAAAGAAACCTCTTAGACTCTCATTTACAGGTTGAGCATGAATTTCTAATCAAGACTGAGTTATTTATGTCTTTTGGTCAGGGCCGATTACATTTCACTGGGTGTGAGGATTTATATAATGCATTTTCCCTGGCTATCATCTGATATATTTTCCTGAGTAAAGCACTACAGGTGTCTCTGAAATCTCAACCCCAGTAAGTTCCTCCACTCAGGGTAATTTCAAGACGAGTGTTATGAGGCTACAGACTTCTGTTTCTATTAACTGTATGAGGCTACAGACTTCCATTTCTACTAACTGAGTGAACATATTAGTGGCATCCTAGGTTTTGGTACACTGTCAGATTTATTCTAGTAGTTATTGAACACCTACTAAAAATAAAACCTGGTACTAGGCACTGAAAGTAATTAAGAGGTTTCAGCTTGAGGATAGCCATAACATTCGCATACCAGACAAGTAAGCTTCAGTAGCTAAGCAAGAAACGAAAATGCCATTGACAGTGTTGGGAAGTGGGAAGGAGAGCCGTTCAGTAGAGCTGGCTGCAGAAAGGGAGGAGAGGGCACTTAGGTTGGACATGAGGGGATGGCAAAGGGGAAGGAACTCTTAGAACTGCCTTTGTGTAAGAAAACACTTCGATAAGTCACTAGGAGGTAATACCATGAAGGCATAAGTATCAAAAGCCAGCGCCACAAAAAAATTACTAAATGCTGGGAAGAATAAAAAGAGGAATTTGTTTTTGCTCTGAAGAGGAAGAAGGAGAGGAAGGAGGGAAGGGGCAGGAAAATGAGTGACGAGAAAGGAAGAAACAGAAAGGAGAGGAAGACAGAAGGCAGGGAGAAGCTAGGGCAATATGGAATCGTGGGGAGGTGACTAAAGGACTTTTCGGAAGGGGGAGAAATATCAAGCAATCTAAAGATATTTGTCTTCTTGAGCGGAAGAGCTGAGTTTCACGGATGCGTCTATGTTATGCCTTACAAAAACAAGACGCCGAGATGATGCATAGTGATTCATAACGGGAATTAATTTAGCAGAAGCAGAAGCCGACTGTGACAATGAGAATATAAGCGTCTAGAGACGTGCAGAAATCTTGGAGCAGGCTTTAGACACGGCAGCTTTGGGACTTCAAGTCCATCTGATTTAGCTCTCCTGGGGTGGAAGACTCCAGCGGACGTCTGCATTTCACTCAGAGCAACGGCGGGGGAAACCGGCCGGTGCACTAAGGCAGCTGTCCAAGGTCGCGTAACCCGTGGGTGAGACTTAGGCCAGTGTGATTTGCCAAGTCCTCTTGGGAGGCAGTACCCGTGGTGGTGAAAAGCACAGGTTCTGGAGTCGGACAGTCTCAGTTCAACTGCTGGCTCTGCCACTTACTAGCCGTGTGAGCTTGGACACATTACACGGCCTTTCTGTGTTTCAGTTTCTTTGTCTCCAAAATAAAGACAAGTATAGCATCGCAAATTAGTGAGAGGTTAAAGGAGTCAATACATCTCAATAATAGGTTCACAATCCCGAAATCCAAAAAGCTCTGAAAACCAAAAGTTTTCTCATAAGTTTGGAGCAAACTATTTGGTGGCAAACCTGACTCGAGGCTGTTGTGTTTATTCCACTTGATGGGATGCAGAGATATTAATGTGTCTGATTGTAGGTGCTGACTCGGACCCTGCAGAGGGAGTTACACAAGGTACAGCATAAGCAATATACTTACTCTCCAACATATTGATTTCCAAAACACATATGCCCTCAAGGCTCTCAGATAAAGAATTGTGAACCTGTCCTTAGTTTAACATCTGCCACGCTTCTAGGGTAGAAGATGAATTACTCATGCTCAATAGAGCCCAGAAGGCTCACGTAACGCTACCAATTCCCTAAGCCCATTTTCTAGAGAGGATGAATTAAGAGACAGGAGTCATAATGGCAAAGCGCAACACAGCCACTCACGGCTCTTTTTTCATTACTCAAATAAACACGGTTTTCTGGCTGTCGCACAGACTGTCCTAAGCCTTCTGAAATAGTCTAACGCTCAGTACTGGGCATCAATATATGTAAACATATATAAAATCAGTCAACAATTATTCAGTCAACAAGCATCTACTGTATGCTTGGTGCTGTAAAGATACTACACGGGCCTTGTTGAGATGAAGACAAGGATCCAACTAGGAAGAAAAATGGTACACAACAATGTGCTACATTACAGCAGCAAAGGGCAGGTGTTGAGATCAGAAGGGCTTTACAAAGGAGGTGGGATGAATTGCAGACAGTTTATTGCTAGTTATATGATCTTGCGATCTTGAGCCTCAGTTTCCTCATTTGTAAAATATGGTCGCTGTGAGGTTAACAGTATTTTATGTACCGTGCCAGATACATAAGTCGTGAAGAAATATTAGTTATATTTTTTCCCCATCAGGTGGCTCTTGAAGATTGGTAAAGGCACTTGAGTGGAGTGAAGATGAATTAACTGGGTCCTGACTGCAGTACAGATTGTGTATGTTGAGGAAATTGTGGGAAATTGGAACAGAATGGTGAGATCAAGTGGAGTGGCATAGTGGAGGGGAAGGGGAGAGTGGGCAGGAATAATATGGAAAGTCTGGCCTTGAAGTAATGAAAAATAGGAACTTGCGACTAATTTTTGAGCAGGGAATAACATGATAAAAGAGTGCTGCTGAAAATTATTTGTTAGAACGTAGAGGATTGGGAGGAAACTGGGAGCCAGCTAAGTGTGTATAGTAGCAATCCAACACAGGGCCTAGTCTCTTGTTGGTGGGAGTCAGTGAGTGGACACGACATCTTTAGACTAGGGAAAACAACAACAACAAACTCTCCTTATGTAGTATAGCTATTTACCACCCAAATAACGTCTCTGTTTTATTGCAACCTGAGAGGCAAGCACCGGGACAAATGAAAATTCAAAATTCTCCTACATCTTGTTCTCAAAAAGAGCTTACATACACGCACAGACACAGCCCTTTGAGTATGGTGGCACAGTGAAATACAGAGCATCTTCTAAATATAGCGCTAATTCTTCTGGTAGTTCCTAACAACCAGGGCTAAGCTGTAGCCTGAGGTCTCAGGTGTCGGACAAATCTACCCTGGCCTCTTAAGACATCCAAGGTCAAGGCATCTTTCTGCAGCCACTTCCAACTTTTCCTTCCTTGTCTTGCCCTGGTTTTACCTCAGGGAATATACAGACCAAAGAAGTTAGAATGTACTTCTTGTTTCTAGGGACACAATGACTGTCATGTGATGTGGAGGTTTACCTTAGCCATTGGACTGACATAAGTCTATTCTTGAGAACATGGCTCCTGGACAGGAAATAGTGAAGGTAGAGATATATGCTATGTTGTATTTGTGAAAAATGTATCAAAACTCAGTGTTTTGCAAAGTTAGGTGATTTTTTTCCCCAGCCTTTACACTATGGAATACACACGGCTTACTACTCACTCCCCAAAGTCTCCTTGAGGATAAAAGACTGCTTGATGCAATTAATACTTACAGTATTAACATAGCACC